CTACCACCTTAACATCTGTGGGCTGAGATCTCTAGAAGCAGCCACTGCAGCTGCTGATTCAATGGCTCCCAAGGCCTGCTCCCTTGTAGCTGGGTTTGGGTCTGTGCTGGCCGGACCTATGCTGGCCTGAGCTCCACTCTCATGTCAGTGATACAGAACTCGAAAATTATTTCATCCTGTCCTTTTGTGGGTTCTGCCCCTCCAGAATTAGTTTTAGGACATTATTTTAAGGTGTTTGGCGAGGTTTCTGGGAGAGCTCAGGAGATTCCTTGCCTTTTCCCCCACTATCTTGGCTTTGGGCACCCTTCCCCACCTCGAAGGATATTTTTTTTTTGATGATTTAAAAAATAAATTATAATTCAAATTATAATTACAAAAAATAAATTATAATTTAAAAAACAGCTAGAAAGCTTAGGAAAAGAAGCAAAAAAAAAAAAAAAGTCCCATCAGTAGAAGCCTTAACTGCTCCCCAGCTTTTGGAAAGAAGAGTCAGTCCGAAGCAGTTCTGTCCCCCAGATCTCCCAGGGAAGGCCGGCTGTAGTCACTCCTGTCATCCCTGCTTCTCTCTTCTGGCCCCGTCTCCTCTGCTCGGTTCCGAGAACCACCTGGCTCCCTTCTCTGTTGCTCTCAGTGCCAGAGGCGGGAGGCAAAACCACGTGACCTCCAAGGATATTCTTGCAACAATAAATGCAAGGTTAGCAAGTAACAAAAAAGCTAAGGTTACATTAAATTTGGCCTTGGCCAGTTGTCTTTTCAGAGCCTGTTTCCACACTAAAGCATGTTAACTAACTAGGTGCCATAAACTAGTTAGTATTCACTGAGGTTTAGTGGGATGTCTTGCATCTATAAACTAAATTAGCTAACAATTCCAGTGTGCTTTACCACTGTAGACCTTCTGATTGTTTTTTATGTCAAGAGGGATATAAACCAGAGAGATATGTACATGCTCACCAAAGTAATATTTACTGTCATGGGGAATGTCACAAAATCAGAAAATCTTAGAATTCACAGAATCAAAAACCCATACACTGAGGACTAGAAGGGAATTTCAATACCTTCATTTGACAAATTAAAGTGATTTATCTGAGGTTACATTGAGGGAAATTGGCAATGTCAGGATTCAAACCCAGGTCCCGATTCCAAGTCCACTGCTCTTTCTACTGCATTACAAGAGATCTCAGAGGCTGTTCCTGAACAAAACCCATTCTATAACATAAGCAGTAAGTATTAATCTAGACTTTGCTTGAAGATCCCCCTAAGGGGGCTTGCCACTTCCTACTGAAGAAACCTATTACATTTTAGTATTGTTCTAACTATTGGGAAGTTTTTTTCTTAAGTGAAATCTAAACTGGTTTCTCACAATTCCATCCACTGCTCCCAGTTCTGCTCCTGGGGCCAAACAGAACAAATATAATCCCTCTTCCACAGAAGTCTTTCAAGTATAGTTATATCATTGCAACTTTCTCCATCACAGTTTCAATATACTGCGGATTAGCATAAGAAATTAGACGGGAATTTAGGGGGAGTTTTGTAGAAACTGCGGCAACATGGAAAACATTTAGACACTCAGAAGTACATAAAATATACTTATAGTATTGTATAATATTAACCCAAATTTTACAAGGTACTGTAAACACCCCATAAAAGAAAAAGCAAAAATTGAGACTTTTTCTCTTGTACAAAGAGAGGGCCAAAAAATTTTACACAGTTTTTCCAGATCTCGGGGGCACCATGCCCTTAACCCCCACAATGTGGAAAGGATAACTGTATTTGAGGATACTTTTCACGTTTCACCTAAGTCTTTCATTTTTCAAGTTAAGTGTACCTGGCTCCTTCAAAGCCCTTTACCACCCTAGTAGCCCTCTTCTGAATATTCTCCAGCTCATCAATAACTATCCTAAAATATGATACCTAGAACCAAACACAATACTTGAGATATGATCTGAATCATGACAGAATACCTCCTTACTATATTGTGCATCTCTTAAAGAAGCCTGAGATCACATTAGGTTTTTGGGTTGGGGTTTTGTTTTGTTTTGTTTTTTTTTGCTATTAGCAAAAACACATCCTATGCAGAATCCAAAGAGAACAATTCCTCAAAGATGACAAACTCCACTAAATGTTTCTGTCTGTAGATAAACACTGTGTTGATTACATCAAGCCCCAGCACATTAAAGGGCTCACTCACTGTGATACATGATTATTTGAAAGAGATCAGTTAGTAATCCACATACAGGTGTGAAGATACTTTAGGAGGGGGCAGCTAAGTGGCGTAGTGGATAGAGCAACAGTTAGAGTCAGGAGGACCTGAGTTCAAATGTGGCCTCAGACACATAACACTTACGAGCTGTGTGACCCTGGGCAAGTCAGTTAACCCCAATTGCCTCACCAAAAACTATCTATATATATGTAATATATATACTATTAGGAGATACCTTGTTTTCCAAAACTAAGTCCCAGCAAGTAAGCTGTGCCCTGAGTTTGGCATACCAACAATCCTTTGTGCTCACCCTCTGGATAATCTCAGTCACGGTGGGATTATTTTACATAATTATTGTACTACTTTGACCAGCACCAGGTGTTAACAATAAGCTCAGACAAGTTCTGGTCATGAAGCCAGGTTATCAATCAAACTTTGTCACATTGTTGCTGCTACCCCTCATTGTCAGGGCTACAGGTCACTGTGCGGCCATTGGTATGAGAACTGAGGTTTAGTCCCACTGCCTCAGGTTCCACCACTGGGGAGGAGGGGAGGGGTGGCACATGTGCCTAAATCCCCCCGTGCTCACAAGCTGTTTCCCTCACTTATATAAAATAAACTTCCATTTCAGTTTCTGCACAGCTGTTCTTGCTTGCTTTGTCTGTTCGGCTCTGGCCTCCACAGACCAGCACATTGAGTCCAGTTGACACAGGGAAAGCCAAATGGATAAAAAAAAAATGCCCCTTGTCCATCCTACGATGTTCAGTTGGATGCTCTGTTTACTGAGTACTGATACAGATGAGGATGTATCTCTGGCACGGGCAATGCGGGCAATGCAGATGAATAATGAATCTCAAGTCAGTATACACTGGCCTGTACAGCATTTGGGAAAGAACAACACTTTCAAAGATTAAAAGATATTCCGTTCTGTGATAGGACTAGGATCATCCCTCTCTCAGACACATGGGTAAGCTAGTTTTTTGTTGGTTTGTTTTTTTTTTTTTCCTGAAAGGTAACTGGTCAAGGGTACAAAGGTTCAAGTTGCTCATTCCTACACACAATTTCCAGGTAGACTTTGGCCATACTGACAAGGCTTTCTAGTCAAAGGGCATAAAAGGTCCACTTATCTGAAGTTAGTGCCATCGGTGTAGGAGATCACAGTGAGTCAGCGCCCCTCTCCCCCAATGCTGACCAGTAGCATTTCCAAATAGAGGAGTCAAGAGTGAGGTTGAGTCTAATCAAGTTAAGTGTTGCAGTATCCTTGCTAAATATCTTTTCTCTGCCATTGCTCAGCAAACTTGGAGTCAGACTCCATCTATTACACCCTACATAAAAAATCTTAACACAAATGTTCTTTAAATAATATTGACTGATTACAAATCTTGAAACAGTACAATCTTTGAGAAAACAAAAGGTGTCCTTTATCCAAAGAGCAAAGATGAAATGCATATTGGGCACAAGAAAGCTGTAGAATATGATGATCTATATTCAAGAGGTGATATAAGCAATGTCTGACCAAAAAAGCAGAAACATTTATCTCAGAAATATATGATTGGAAAAGTAGATGAGTTTATCCCAGAAATGGATGACTGAAAAAGTAGATGAGTGTATCAAGTAGTGAGGCCTAGGGATAACAGAAGAATAGCCTGGGGTATGTACTGGTACCCATGACGTGTTAAAAAAGATCTAAGAGAAGACCTACAGCACACAGGGTTGTCCCTGTGATCAGGATCTATGAAAAAATGTGGGTAAGAACTTTATGGGGTGAAAAAGTGAGAATGAGTTATAATTTTCATATAGATGATATCGTAGACATACTAAAGTCATTAAATATTTAATTATTTGGTTCTTTTGGTGGTTATTAGGTTTATCATAATTATTTTTCTTAAATAGAATACTGGATGGAAAGTCAAAAGATCTGGGTCCCAGATGTCATAAACATAGTATAACCCTAGAGAAGTTTTTTGTCCCATTGTACATCGTTTTCTTTATTAGTAAAATGTTGGAGGTAGGCTCCCACTAGAAAGAATTCTTGACTTGGAGCCAGAAGAGACCTAGATTTCAAATCCAACTTTTGATGCTTACTAAGCTATGTGACAATGGGCAAGTCATTTAATCTCTCTGAACCTCAGTTTTCTCATTTGTAAAACAGGGATAATAATTTCTGTAGTATCTACTTCTCAGAGTATTGCGAGGCTCAAATGAGGTAATGTATATAAGGTACTTTGTAAATACAACAAACAATTGCTCCTATAGCCTCTCAGACAAAATACCTAATTCTGAGTTTGGCTGCCACCTTACCTTTTCAGATAATTCATACTCCTCCTGGGTATCAGCACTCTTCTGATAAAATTACCAATCTCACTGTTCCCCACACAAAACATTCCACTGCCCTCCTATGTTTGCACAGGGGACCCACCAAGTATGGAAAACACTCCCATCTTACCTCAGTTTTCAAAGCACAGCTCAGGTGCCACACTCCTACAGGAAATGTGTACTCATTCTCTCGGTTGGTAGGGTTCTCTCCCTCTTGAAATTACATTGTATTACTTTGTCTTTATTTGTTTATGTGCTGTTTCCACCAACAGAACATAAGTTAGTTGAAGGCACTGATGGCTTTGTTTTTGTCTTTATATGCCAGTGCCTAGCAGAGTGCCTTCCATATAGGTCTTCAATTAACAGTCATTTAATTGAACTGGCAAGCCTTCACGTGCTCTATGAATGCTAATTAAGATACATTCTAGTTTTAAAACTCTGATTCTAAAATAAACACTTTTCAGAAACATTCTACATCACCTACCTGTGCCTTTGCCAATTTCTTTTCCAAGAGATCTCTTTCTCTTTCTGTTTGCTGCAGACGATTATTAAGCTCCACTATGTCTCCTTTCAGAGATGCCAGGGCTGCTAAATGGAGCTATAGAGACAGGAACAAAACAAACAAACAAACAAAAAATAAAGGTTAAACCACAGTATGCCCCACCCAAAAAAGCGTATTTTTTTTTTGTTTTGTTTTTGCAACAGTTAAAAAAAAAGCATTAGTGTGTGCAGAAAAGACTAAATAAAGTCCAGCATGTACGAGAGGCTACCTATAGATATTGAAGGCCTAAACTGAACTAAGAAATTATAAAATACAGAGAAATGAGGACCCTAGGTACTCCAGCTTTTTGACTCTCACAGGTTGTTAAGAAGGGTAATACAGAATTAGTCTTTACCTTTAGAAAACCAAATAAATGCATAATACATAACTTTTGGTTCTGTCATGTTATCAAACTACCAGGAAAGTCAGATATTTTCAAGGAACTAATTTAAATGGAAGAAAAGTTGGTTCTAGAGAGAAATTCTCTGTTGAAGAACCAATAGCTTTCCTTCGTTCTTTATTTGGAAGGTTTCTTCCCACTTCCTTTGATATTTGAAAATTCATCTAATAATTTTCCCCGTTCAACTTTCACTTTTCAGGACCTAGGCTTACATGTAAAATTTGAGGGAATATCCAATATTCTAAAATCATCATCTAGTTTGACTAAAAATACTATTATACTATTCAGACTTAGTGGATGAAAAACTTCTGCCCTTTCAAAATAATTGGGATTGTATCAATCCCACATCTCATGTGTAGATAGGTAGGTAGAGGTGAAAAGTAAAGAAGGTTCTGCACTATGACCATGAAAATTGTCAGAAAAATTATGATTAAGCAAATGAAGTTGATCTTCAAGGATGGACATAGTTTAAGAAACACTAAAGAGATTTTTCTCTTCATATTGAAGAAAAATGCACCATGTAAACTTGATTCTTTTAATGTCATTCAACTGGTAAAATCTTGTGAGGATTCGAGTGGGGAAAAGAGGAAAAACAAAATATTGGGAGGGAGATTAGGCCTTAAAAGATGTTATTACTGATACACATTCAAATATTAGAGTGGCTTCAATGCAATTAATTGCATTGGATTGCAAAACAACAAATCAATGGCTGATCTAAAAGCAGAGGAGTCTCAATTTTAAAGAAGAAAAGGCAACATTCACCTCCTTCCAACAATGTTATGGCTGCTTGACAAAGAAGGTGACTGGGTTTCAGAGAAAACTATTTTTTTTTTGCATGTGAATAATCTCTCAGGAAATAAACTCTTCAGTATTCACTTCAGTGAAGTGATCCTACAGGGTAGAGTAGGAGATGACAGAATTTCCCTTTTCAGACACAAACTCGGTCAAAAGATATGCCTTTAATATCAGATACTAAGACAGAATACCTTGTCTTATTTGAGTCTCAGGAGAAGATGTAATATATCCTAGGAAGAAGGATATGATGATAAAAAAGTAATTTTTCTTTAAGAAACAAAGGGATGTTAAGGACTTCCAATTATGTATAGCTGGGCTTGATTTTCACTGAAAAATATCTTTGTGACCACTTCTGACACAGGATAGATCCAAAAGAGGTAAGGAACAGAAGAGAATGGAAGAGAAGGATGCATAGGCAACCTTCTTATCCCAGCTCCCTTTATTTATTTTAATTTAAGATTAAAAAAGCAAAGATTAGGCCCTACTGTTGAAGTAACACCATGTAAACTACCAAATAGCCAAGCAAGCTAAACTAGCTTTTTCTCAAAATGTATTAAAAACATTGTTAAGACTTAATTGGCTCAGAGGATGAAGGCTCAGGCCACTGATATAGCTTCCTGGTGGCTAAAAACCTACCCTGCATGCCAGATATTATGATGATATTAGCCACACTACACTCCCTACTTCACCGAGTAATTGTAAGAAAATCTTAAAGTCCTATACAGCTGTGTTATCATTATTATGACAAATGAAGATAATCCAGGGCCTCTGTTTTTCTACCTGCTTGCTTGGGTCCACTGTCACAAGCAGTTCTGAGAGGTAATACAGGAGAAATAAAAGTAAATTGAATTACTTAATGTCACATTATCAAAACACAGTAAGGATCTACAGTACAAACAAGTATAAGACATGCTCTGTATCACTGAGGAGCTTACAATTTGAAGATTTGAGATATGTCTCATTCTGATAAGAGATTTTTTTTTAGAAGGCTGCAATTCACCAATGACGAGAATGAGTTTTATGCTTCACCTATTCCCCATGCCCACTACTAAGAGTAATCAAGAGATGACACCATGTTCTCCACTTATGGGTTGCATCTTTCTTCCTCTCACAGAGTTACCAAGAAAGGCAAAAATAGAAATAGCTTCAGAAATTCAAAGCTGGGGCAGCTAGGTGGCGCAGTGGATAGAGCACCAGCCCTGTATTCAGGAGGACCTGAGTTAAAATCCGACCTCAGACACAGAACACTTACTAGCTGTGTGACCCTGGGCAAGTCACTTAACCTCACTGCCTAGCCAAGAAAAAAAAATCAAAGCCAAGGAATACATAAGTCACACTGTAATGAAGGCAATGAGGCACCAGTACAGACGGTCATCATTATCAACAAAGACAACGATTAAGAACAGCAACAAGGAATGGGGTTGGAGATTTGCAGCCAATTTTCAGATGATGGTGGGCTTAAATCCTAGAGGAGGTGTTTTATAAGCTAAGGGTTCTGATCTCCATAAAAATCTTCATAGAATCTGAGTTTAAAGGAACAATCTAGTTGAAATCTGTTTCTGAACATGAATCCCCACTACAGCATGCTTGTGAACTGGCCATCCAGCACTTGTTGGAGGGTCTTCAAGGGAGGGAGAATACGTGGCCTCCCAAGGTAGTAACCCCTTCCCTTTTTGGTTTGCTTTAATCTGTTAGAAAGTTTTTATTGACCTTAAGCTTAAGCTATGTCTTTGTAACTTTTCCCCATTGCTCCTTATAGTGCTTTCTGAAGCCAAACAGAACACAGGTAATCCATTATGTTCTTCCAAAACCTTTTCTTCTCCAGAGTAATCATTCCCAGTTCTTTCAACTGATCCTCGAATGGCATGACCTACAGACACTTCTACATTCTAACTATGCTCTGGCCATACTTGGGTTAGCAATGTCCTTTTTAAAATATGGCACCCAGAACTGAACACATTGCTCCAAATGTGATCTGACCAGCACAATGAGGCTACTGCTAACCTTGCCCTGTAACCTGTACCTCTCAATGCAGTCTATGATTTCATTTTTTTTTTTGACGTATTATAGTCCTAATTTAGTTGAGTTTCCCTCAGTTATGACAAAAGGCCAGGCATCAGAAACACAAAGTTACATTTAAACTCTTGATTTTTTGTGTCTTTTTCACCACTTGGGAATCTTTTGAGTGGATGTTCCTCCCACAAAGCTAAGAGAATGATCATATGCAGAGAGAGCCTTGTTCTGCCAGATCTTTTTGTATTTTTCATTTATTTCAAAGAGCCCATCACATCTAAAACCCTGAAAGATGAGAATGTATGGAGGTCAGGATAGGATCTCAAACGTACTTCCATTAAACCTGGCAGGGTAGGGGTAGTTGTAGATATAAATCAGAACTTGAAACTTCGGTCTCTGGAGGTAAAAGCAAGCAATAATTCCCTTGTCTAAGCTGCCTCCCCCAACAGGACCATTTTTTATGTCTTATTTCAGGCTATAATCTACAGATAAGCAATCAGCCAATTCAACGTTTAAAAATCCAGTTAGCTGCTATTTTAATGAGAACAGACAATTGTTGGAGTTTTTCATTTTTCAACTGGCAATACAGCCTCATATAGTCTGTAATGAACCAAATATGCATATAATTCTGGAAACAATGCGATTTTTGAGCTATCTCTCAGAGAAAAATGTCTTTTCTAGGCTTTAGTCAGTTCCAGAGATAAAAAGTCATGCCATTGCTAAAATGTTCTATAAAACAAGAAAACCCAACTGCACTGACAAATTCAATGGCCTATGGTCTGAAGACTTTCCTTTAAAAAAAAAAAAAGAGTGGGTCTTCGGCTTTTCCAGTCATATAGTACTTACTGAGCAGATAAGAGTCCTGGTTCTGGGATTGGAAATCTTGAATTCAAATCTGGCCTCAGACATTTACTAGGTAAGTGACTGGACAAGTTACTTAATCGCTGTCTGCCTCAGTTTAGTCAACTGTTAAAATGAGGAGAATAATAGCACCTATCTCCCAGGGTTGTTGTGAGGATCAAATGAGATAATATTTGTAAAGTGCTTAGCAAAGTACCTGGTCCTTAATAAATGTTTCCTTCTTTTCTTCTTATCCTGTTACCTGCCCTTCCGTCCAACATGAACGGGCTTTCCTGTCCTCTATAACAAATTCTAGGAGAGAGTAGTTACTTCATCATTTGCTGGAAGTGTCAAGAGTAAACAAACAAAGAATGAACAAATGAATAAACAACTTGTATACAACCTACTGCTAGACACTGAGCCAAATCCCCTTTCCTTGCTCAAGGAGACACTAGTTAATCCAGACTGAACTGTCAATCCTATCATATTCATTTACTTTATTTGGGTTTCATAAAGCTATGGTGATTCCTGCATGGTTTAGACTCCTCCCTTCTCCTATGCCTTAACATTCCATGTGATCTTACATAGGTGGTTGGATTAGATGACCTCAATGCAATTTTTACAATGACCTCAAAAGTTTTAGGGGTTTACATAAGTGTGCATGTATATTTGCCAAAGCACATGAAAAAGACATTTCACAGATTATGATATGCACATGGGCAGAAAAGCTATTAAGTTGGATGGATAGATGGATGGTCTATGTGTATGTGTGCATACATAGATATGTATAATTATTCATACACAATTATTTTTAAACCATATATTTATACATATATGTAGACACACATGCGAATATATGTGTGTATGTCCATACATATAAATACACAATCATAAACACTGCCAATGAACTGGATTCAGAATTGAAAAGAAGTAATAGATCAAGGTGCATCACAACTTGGAAACTGTGCCATGTTCTCAATCATCCTAAGCAGCCCGCTTCTAACAAAAT